CTCCCCTCCCCAAGGCCGATGTGGTTCTGGTGCTGGCGGTTTGGGGAAACACTTGCCGATTAATCCCGTCCTCTGAATGCCCTGACAGGTTAAATCTTCAGGAGATTTAGTATACAGCTCCTGATGGCACGGTGCCCCGGGAGCCCAGGCCAGACCGATACCATCGTGTTTATTAGTGCTTGTGTGAGCTCCGGAGCTGGAGCTGAACCAGGCAGGATCTTAGAAAAAGAAGGGAAAAATGTCCCTTGAAGAAATGGGTTTTTTAAATTTTAATTGTTTTTCTTTTTAATTTTAACTGCTGGTTCTGAACCATCCATTCTGTACCTAATTCTTCTATTATAATTAATATAAAAAAGGATATGTGCTTTCAGAGTCACTTGGAATTGGAAAGTAAGCCCTTTTAGGGCATGATAGTACCCGGTCGGAGCAGGTGCATGGGGGAGAGCTTGCTATGCATCCCGAGGCCGCCAGGGGGCTCATTTCGTGTTCAGCTCTCAGATGACAGCAGGTTTTAGAGACACCTTGAGCGGCTCACTTAGTACCAGTCAGCGATGCTCCGATGACCATCGAAGTGTATCTGTAGCATTTTTCTCTTTAATTACCCGAGTGTTTTTTTAGACAGCAGGCGGCGCTGTGGTTAAACAGTTAGACTTGTGGCACAATGAAGTGTCGCAAGTCGGCGGGGTGGAACGCGGACTGCAGTTGTGGGCGGGGGGGGGCAAAGCAGTCATTTCAAAAAGAGGAATGACAAAGACCCCCCCCCCCTCCTCCTCCCGATGCCCCCCCGGATGTCCCCTCTCCCTCCTGACGGCCTCTCCCCATCTGTTCACCTGCAGTTACGGCAGACTCTACGCGGCAGGGGACACCTACAGCCACGCAGCCTACGCCGTGGGGACCATGGTGAGCATTTAGCGAAAAGCATGAGTCACACTCATAACATCTGGCAGAGACGTGCGAGAGAATCACTCACAGGGCACCTCCATTTAAAAAGAGGGGGAAAAGAGGTCTGTCAGAGAAGAATGTTACTAAATGTTTATGCAGTCCTCTTGGCCTTCGAGCAGAAATGCCGAAATGATTCAATTATAAGGGTCATTTTTGAACATTCGTACTATTCTTTAGTGTACAACTGCAACTGATAAGCGGTCGTCACATTGTAAAAAGATCTGGTTTCCATGGTGTTTCATGTCAGCAAAAGAATTCCAATGTTCCATCTCTGTGGATAATCATCCCAAATTTATGTCTGTATGGGTGACAAAATGAATTAACCCGGTTATTTTTTATACTCTCTTCAGAGCATGTTGCACATTTTACAGCGTTGCACTCAATTAGTTAATGTTTGTTTTTAGCTAGCTTTTGCGGCTAACATCAAAGATGAAAAATGGATGACCAAAATAAACTGTAAAGGTGGGATTTTTTTTCTCCGTTATGGGTGGGGGGATATGTTCCAGCTGAATAGTCGAGCGTGCTGCATCGTGCCGTGGGTGCGAGAGACGGAGGGAACGAGGGGGAAGAGCAACTCCCATCACACTGGTTTGACGGGCGCTTTTTAGCAAACCAGCTATCTACTCGTCTCTGCTAAAGCCAAAATCTGGGCCTTTTTAAGAGTGCACAATTTCCCGGAGCAGCTGCTAGCTAAAAGCTTTCATTAATTAACACCTTTTTCTCTTCGTGTATATAATTTAGTCTGTGTTGACAATATTCTTTTTCTTCTTCTTCTTTATTAAAAATTCTCCTCCCCGCCTTTCAATTACATTCAATTCATTTTTATATAGCGCCTTTCCCAACGTGGATCTCCTAAACCACTTAACAAAGAAAACAAACAGTGGCGCTTATTGACATGCCATAGTTTAGGGTAACAGTGCTGCACAATGGAATAATGAATGAACGACAGAAGCTGACAGACGCTGCGAAACAAAACTCCATAGTTTGATATAAAAAATTAGCTCCAAAGTGAACCGGCTGTCCCCCTGGCTGTGAATATTAAAAACGCCAGAAAGTGTTTCTTTTGGGGTAGCACTGTCTTCCTTTCTTCCCTTCCTTCAACTGAACGCATTAAATTCCGTCCTACATTTTTTCGAAAACCAAAGGTGGTGGTGACTGGGAGACTAAGAACGGGTAAAATTCTGCGGACCAAGTACATCATTACGTCATAATGTTGAGGCTTGGTGGGCGCTATGGTAACAGCCAGTTTCGCTATGAATGCTGAAAATATTACACATTTACAACTGAAAGAGATCTTCTACGACATGCCCAATAACTCATGCTACACACAGTACATAAAAGGGTATGTCTTACCACTTGTGCTGTACATGCCAACACATTTCAGTAGTGAAAATGTATAATTACTGTCGACTGAGGAGGTCTGTTTGCGCAAAATAAAATCATGCTGTTGCTCACAGGGAAGAGAGCTGAGCAGCTGTCATCTAATTCGTGCAAGAAGCTAGATATTTACGCAATTTGAAGATAGTAAACAAACACATAAAGTTGATGTAAACGCCAATAGGTACTCAAGGCTGCAAATGCAGGTCCTCTTCTGGGACTTGCCGTATTTTGTCCATCTTCTTTACTGATACACACCAGCTCGTGTATCCTCACCAGCAGCGCAAAGCACTATAAATAAACGTAGAGGTGACAAAATCCCTACAGAGAGGTGGTTCGATTTTAATTATTGAATTACGCATGATTATTGCTTCTGCTGGAAACTGGGGTGCATTTTGCATTTAAAAAAACTGCTCAATAATTAGTTCCTCGGAGGTTGTGTAAAATTCTCTTTCTAGTTAAGATTCTCGGCGTACTGAAAGTGCTAATGCGTCCCACGTTCATGAAAGTTTTACAGAACCTGGAGGCGTCTCAAAATTTGGGGGGAATTCAGTCTTTGAAGATTTAGTATTTAGCCTTTGGAGGCAACCCAAACCGCTGGAGTGAACCGGCGGGAGCCTTAAGAACCCTTTTTTGTACTTTGGTGGCAGGTACTTTTAGGCTAGCTGTGACACCTTCAGTCCGGGCTGAGCGAAAAATAATTGCCGGAGTTCGTCGAAATCTGTTAGATTTGTGGAATAAAAAAAAACATCAACAGAACGAGAGAGGAGGGGAAAAACTTCATAGCGATGAAGTTATAATGACTGCTATAATAAAAATCTTTATTCGCTAAGACAGCGACACACCCCCCAGACCCCCAAGGCGCCATGGCGACGCGCCGTCACGTGACCGCCATCGCACCACCTGTAGCTGGGAGGAGAATTTTTGTGTAGAAGAAGAAAAAGGGTCACGGCGGCTTCTGGAGCCGCTAACCCGGTATTAGCCTTCACACTGACTGGGGTTTTTTCATCTTTGATGTTGCAGGCTAGCCTATTCAAAGGAGGCTACAGCCGCTTCTCCCCCTACTAAAAGGGAGTAACCGTATCCCGGCAACAAAACATAAAAACGTTAAACGCCGCCTCCTCCTCAGTGGAAAACTATTTTGAACTAAAAGCTTCTGGGTCATGGCGCCGCGCCCCCCTCCCGCGCCTGTACGAGACAGGTTTTTTGTTTCGAAAAGTGTCCTCCAGTGACCTTTCTTACGATGTAATGCCCAAATCTCTGTTCAGTTTGTCTTTATTTTTTATGAAATGTGTACTGATGATTACTTGGCGCAAATGGCATATTTCTGGTGTCTGTAATGCAATTGTTATAAATTTAGCCTAAAGAAAATGACCCCCCACACACACATAAAACTTGTTTAAACCTGTAGTGTAGAGCATGTAGTAATCTGTTGTGATGTGGCTTATACTGGGTTATTGAGTTGTTTCAAAATTGACACTGATTTCCCACAATGCAAAGCTTTACAAATTGCATAGATATCCCACAATGCAAAGCTTTACAAATAGCTTCTGTTAGTTACTCAACTGCAGTCAAGCAGTGGTTCTCCCAGTCCATGCTGACCACAGGTCTCCGCTGGTCTGTTATACGGTGTGAGGATGGTTAAGGTTCAATCAGGGCTGTAATTAATGTGTAATCAGCAGGTGCTGTTACCCAGCAATCACTAAGCAAATACGTCTTATCCAAAGCAGCTTACACTACATAGAGTAGCTAATACGTTTTGTCTGTTAGTGTAACTGGACAAAGCCACGCAAGGGCCTTGCTGGCGGTGTGTCTCCGTAAGCATGTGTGTCCCTACCGCTTGTTCGCAGCCCCCTGGTACAGTTGAGACAGACTCACGTAACAGAATCCGGGCGAGCATTTTCAGAGGGTCGGGGTTCGGTGCCACGTGCCCGCTTTCTCTCTTGCTGCTACGGCTCCCGCGAGCACCACGCCCCCCCCCCAGCAGAGTTTACAGTCTACCGGGATCACACGGCGTCTCGAGAGAAGCTAACCCGCCCGGGTGTCCCTCAGGGCTGGAGCGGCGGGGCACCGCACGCTGCCTTCTGAGCGTGAGAACGACCGGAGAGTGATTTCACAGCGGCGCGTAAATATCGGAGCCACTCTGTACTCTCGAGTGAAGCTCTGGGCGTACTTTACAAAGCCATTCTATCTGCAGGTCGACAGATAATACATGTGCTTTCGTTTCGTTTGTTGAGCGTTTATCTGCCCTTCCCATGAAGAGGCTGTAGTCTGTAAGTCTACTAAAATTTATATTCACGTTGTTGTGTAAAATATAGTCTTTGATATTACTGATTCTCAGTTTTTGGAACTGATCGCTACATACGGTTTACGGAACTCCTTTGACGGTGTCTCCTGGAGCCAAGGGCCTCTTTTTGAATCTCTAAATATGCTCCTTGTGTCTCACATTAAGGGAATTGCACCGTAGGTTCGCGTCCGAATTTACACGCGGATCGGCGCCTCCGTGCCAACTGCTAGCGCGAGCTCATTTGCTGAAACTCCAAAGATTGACGAGAAATAAAATGAGCCGAGCAAAGGCATAAGACTCACAGCCACGAAAACCAGCAGCTGTTCAGGAATACAACTCACTCCTGCGACTTAAAAATAATCGTGATTGCATAGTATCAGTCGCTTTGTGCGTTTCAGTTTTTCTGAGAACAATTAAATTATTTCCGAGGTGTTATAAGGCTTATAATCTTATTGCTAGATTAATTTGTTATTCATTCGCATATAAAATTACGATAGACTGATCTGGCTAGTATATTGTACAATGGTCTTCCATTCATATATAGGACATTTTCAGCTGGTAATACTATCAGACTATTACAACATATGTGTGTGTAAATATACATTCATATTATTGAAGACAGTTGTGTACTGTAATCATTCTAAATTTCATTTAGTGCTGCATTATTATGATTCTTTTTTATTCTTGCATGACAGTAATTTCTATAATGAAATGTATAATTTTTTTTAGATAACAAGCAAAGTACATATTACTGATTCCGGGTCTCTTTTATATTTCACTATGCCGTCTGTCCGATGGGTTTTACCTGAGGATCTGATAATGAAGATGTAAAATATGTATTGTATGTTATTGAAAAAGTTCATTTTTTTAATATTTAAATTTATGTATGTATGCGAGATTTCAACAGAGACTTCTGGGGTTGTGGAGAAGCAATCATTTTGCTACAAAAATTCTACTTGTGCAATCGGTAAGGTCTTTAGGTACAATTAGTGTATATTTCTGTAGAGCATTCTTCATCCTTCATGGGGAACATTACGGTCCAAGGTGACCTACAACTGGCAGTTGGGTTTTGGCTATAGCAAACGGAAAGAGTTCTTTCATAGTCAGCTCATACCTCTGACCTTTGGATAGAAAACCACGACATGTCCCGAACCAGAGGGCCTGACACGTCCTGTGAGTTTCTGCTGTCCCGGAACACCCATATTAGCCGTTTAGTCAAGTTGTACTGCTGATGTGCCGCGCAAGTCCACCTCTGTGTTTATTTACGAATGTTTGCATATGTCTCTTTATTTTTAGTAAAAAAACAAAAAAGGACACTGTATTGGGTAACGACGGTCAGCACAAAGGGAAAAAGGTGGAAACGAGGAAGGAGGGAAAAAAAAATCTTGAAATACAACGCCAAAAAATACAAAAAAATAATAATTAAAACGTGGCAAAAGGAACTCCTTCCCTCAGGGCTGGCAGGTAGAGGGGAAGCACGCGGCGTGTTGCCGCGGCAACATCACAGCAAGCCAAACAAGGGCCACTTTCATCAGAGACCAGAAGCAGAGGAAACTCAACTTTTTTTCTGTTCTTTATTATATTTTATGTCGTTATTACAAGATCTGTATATATATGACAGTATTTATGACTGTTTTTGGTAAGACATGGACAGTGCAGGTCCCATGAGGTTAACGCACTGAGTCCACCGGGAAGAAGGTGGGACATCCTGTCCAAAGGCCAGTCATCAACTTGAGGGCATTTTGCTGCTGACCTTCCTGCGGACTGGACTACAGATCAGCTTTTGGTGGGAGAGATGGGGGCGGGACAATGATTTGACCTCCCATAGGTGGCGCTCATCCTGTGGGTCACTTCCTGTCAGGAAGCTGTGTCAGGGTCCCCCTGCCGGACCCATGTCCCGGGGGGGGCCTCATTCCCGGACTTACGCATGCCAAGCTCGTGACTCAGATGGGGCTCTTCCGGATTGGATCTGGTGTGGACCTGGACCTTTTGCCCATGGCTGTCCCCGTCGCTGTGCAGTTCTTCCTGAGGTACCTGTGTGGGCATGTCCAACCGCAACTGGAAATGCGGCACTGAAACACTGGCCACATTCCATGCATCTCCTTGTCACAAATGTAACCTTTTCAATCTATTGTTGTTGTTTGTTTTTTCTTCAATAAATGGTGGTTGTTTTATGGGAACATAAACAGTAAATGGATATTAATTTTTCATTTTTTTATTATTTCATTAAACAGTTTTATCAATGGGACTGTTAAGTATATCTAATAAATGGGTCCAGTTAAGTAAAATGATTTAAAAACTTCAGTATTTTTTTTTTACTAAATATCCATATATAAGCAGTTATATGAATGCATCATTGGAAGGTTAAAAGCTTAATCAGTGAGAATTAAGCATTCATAAGAATACAATCAACCATATTGGACGTAAGTGAAACAAAGTATTTAAGTTTCACTCAATACTTCTAAAGCAGTGAGTACTTTCTGTTAATTAGTTATTATTCAGCCAGTGTTTTATTTTTTATGTCTTTTTTTACATTTTTTTTAAGGGAAATAACTTGAAAGTATTCAAACAAATGTTCCCTCCAGATCTCGTGGGATGTGGAAGTTGAAACTGTTTATTTTGGTGGTCAGACCTTGCCAAAATGCTCTATCAATTGGTATGTAAAAATTCAGTGCTGAATGCCAAAACTGCAGAACAATATATTTTGTGGTTCAAATAATCATAACACAGTACAGACATCCAGCACCAAATACAGAAACAGGGGCTCAAGGTGTGAAAACGGGAGCAAGCAGGGAAGTTGGTACCTGAATCTCCATCCATTTTCTATTCCCGCTTATCCTGTGCAGGGTTGTGGGAGTTTGGAGCCTGGTACCATGTTCTGCACATTAAATTACAACTTCCGGATGTGGTCGAAGCTTCAGAGAGAAATGATGGGAGATGATAATGAGCAGAGCATCAACACCGGAACGCTCGCCATGTGGTCCGCATCCATCGAAGCGGCGCACAAGTCGGCTGATGCTGTAGGGCCATGTTTCCCAACCCGGTTCCCGGGAACACACAGACAGTCCATGTTTCCCAACCCGGTTCTCGGGAACACACAGACAGTCCATGTTTCCCAACCCGGTTCCCCGGAACACACAGACAGTCCATGTTTCCCAACCCGGTTCCCGGGAACACACAGACAGTCCATGTTTTTGCCCCTTCCCAACACCTGCGGACTGTCTGTGGACCGGACTGGGAAACACTGCTCTGGGGAGAAGGCATACTGGTCAACTGGGCCTTGAAACAATCCTAACTTGGTTGGTGCTGTATACGTATGGGTGATGTAGAACATGCCAATACCAAAACGATAGCACCACAAGAAGAAATGCCAGAAAGCAGAAGGAAATGCAATAGACTTTCAATTTCATCCTTCCTTTAGCTTTTCTTTTTCCAGTCTCTCCACATTTTTTCCTCTTTTTCTTTTTCAATCTAATTTTGCCAGTCCATATTGTGTAGGACATCAATATAATGGCTCTTTTTGTGCTGCACCATGTTTGTTACCTGTGGCCCGATTCAGTTTATTTTCCCACTTTTCAATCTGCTCGCAATGTCACCTTTTTTCATCTTCGACTTGCACTCCCGGCTCTGACGGGATGCTGTAATTTCGTCGGGAGGCTCCGGTCCTCCGGACAGGTGGAGGTGGCCTGCTCTTCAGGAGGTGGTACTCTGTGTTCTCTGGGACCTCCTCCGAATTCAGCCTACACGTTTCTGCTCGCTGTTTCACCGGTGAGCGGAAGAGAGAGGTACAACCGAGGAATTTCTTGGCACCGTTGCTGCATCGACGGCAAGCGCTATGGTTTTTTCGCTTTAACTGCAGTTATCGGCGTATCGATTAAGGTTGTAAATGTAGCCACATTATGCTAACGACTGCTGGTTTCAGACCCCCTGGGATCCCCCCCTCTAGCTTTATGTATGGCGTTTTCACGCCTAACCCCCCCCCCCCCAAACTCCATCCGTGTGGGTTTCCTCCCACAGCCCAAAAACGTAGTTAGGTGTAGTTAGTGTGTGAAGCAGTGTGTCTCTCCTTTGATGGGCTGGACGGGCCCCATATCCCAGGATGGCTCCGGTCTCCTGCCTGATGCGTCTTGGGACCGACTCCAGCCTGGCCCAGGCCTTCTGGCATTTTCTTTCAGCTTTCCGAACGCCCCGGAGGTTACGGGGCGGAGCTCGCCCGCTCCCGAGGCCCCGCAGACGCAGTGGGGGGGGCGCTCATGTGAGGGGCACCCGTGACGGTGCGCCTTCCTGATTCCGCGTCCTCACACGATAGGAGCATCGAAGACGGCGAGACCTACCGGTGACACCCAGCCGTCCCGGATGGTGTCGCATGCCTATGGTAATGTATCTGTCAGTACTAACAGGGATAAAACCCACAGGAAAGAGCCCGGCATCAGGCCTCGATCCTCTGTAATGTGTTACTGTCAATGTGAAGCATCCACACATCTAAGGAGCGCCAAATTGGCGGCTCCATAGTCAGTGATAATTGAACCCTGATGCAAATGAATCTCACATCGGCCTGTAAAATATCAGCTGCCATCCCGTGATGTAAATAAAGCACGCGGCTGCCTGACCATGTGAAACAGGCCGTCCTTTGGCCATTACGATGCAGTTCTGCGTTACGTTCTGAACCCAAACACCGCTTAGATGGTGAGGCCCCGTCTCACTCCAGTGTGCCCGTGCATCCGGACCCCGTGGTCACTCTTATTCTCTCAATCTCCCATTCGTTGATATTACCCCTTTCCATGTAATCCTAAAAAGCATCCTCATTTTTCTATTGTTCATTCTACAATCAAACATAATGTGCTCAAATATAAATACGTATTTGAGTAAAGAACATTTTAGTTTTGCATCCTCTAAATTTTATTTCCAAGGCATTGTGGAGTTACCATTTGGGCAGGTACCATCTTTATTCACGCCGACGTGAAACGTTTTTGAGCCTGTTTTCTTGCGCTTGTTTTTCTCCCATTTCATGGGCATTTGTCTTCAATGTCTGATAATGACCAACGGCCAAGAAACAGTGAGGTGTTTAACGGACCAGAAAAGCTACTTCCGTCTCTCTGCTCCAACAAAACCGCAGGTAGGAGCTGTGGACAAGTGTGCCACCTTGTGGAGATGTGTAGAACTGCAATGTGGAGGACAAACCCTCACCAGTAATGAGCAGGAAGAGGTAAAGACAGTCATGGAACATCACAGCTGTGTCGACTTTGGTTTATTTATGGTCTTACAGCTGTTTAAAAGATGTTAACATCAAAAAAGTAAAATAATGGTATCTCATGCTTCATGTATAGCTCGTAAATACAGTACAGTGAGAAAAGAAAATCTCTAAAGCTGTTTACCTGGGTAGTGAATAAGTGTATATTTGCCCAGAAAAAAAAACAGAATTTAACATTAGAATATTAGAATTAACAGGAATGGTTCCCAAAGCTCTCCTTGGTGATACTGAAGCCGTTCTATGCATTTGTTAGATTTCACCAACAAATCACCTGATTATTTAACTTGATCAGTTAATTAGCCAAACACAGAATACTAGCAGTCAAGTCAGCAAAATACATGCGTTTGTTGGATGGTTATTGCAAATAGTGGGGTGAGTTTAGGAGAGCTTTTGAAATGACTATGCCGACACTCTCTGACACATCAAATTTTCACTTTCATGAAGATCATTTAAACATCATTTTCTTTGAGTAAGACTTTAGCACAGCACAATAGAAAATTATATACCCCCAGCACATTATTTGTGACAACCACAAAAGGATGTGTATTAATGTCCTTATCTTCATTTTGCCCCAAATCCTGCATCATCGCTCATCACTTCCTGTACAGACAGGAAGTAGGTATGTGTCAAACGCTACTGCACTTCCTTCTCTGTGTAACTCAGTACACATCGGCCCCAGTGTGACTCCGGTGTGGTTGGTCCCACTCCCACAGGCTCCACAAGCAGCTCCACCCTGCCAGGTGGATCAGGCACAGTCAGGCCACACACACGGTACAAGGTGGTATACGACCGGCCAATCAGGATCGGAGAGCGGGCTGGAACGTCCAGTTGGCGCCAGTGGACCCGGAAGTGTCGGGCCACGCGGGCCGGATAGTTCCAGCGTAGCGTGATGCTGAGGCACACTTCGCCTGCGCCATCTGGCCCCTGGGAGGCACGCTGCCACACGGGGCGCTCCAGACGCACTCCCCCTAGTGGCGGGAGAGGTCTCCACATGCTCTCAGCGTCCAGAACCTGGCAGGCAGAGGAGAGCAACCTTCAGCGTATGTGCGCTTCACTAGCCATGTTCAATGACAGAAATGCTCCCCCTCACCGCAATTTCCCCGATTCTGCAATGGAACGGAACGTCCTGGTCCTGGGTGGTACGGGAAATGCTGACACCAATATCCAACAGAGCGTAGTCATTGGGCTTCAGGAGATAACACCTGTATAGAGACCGCAGCAGGTCAGGCCCTGTCCACTCACCCTCTACTTGCATTTTTCCCCTGGGATCCAATCTCCCGTCTTACCTGATACTCCAGCCTGACATCCACTCAGAGCTGCCCTGGGTGAACTGCTTCCAGAGCCGGTGATCCTCAGCGAGGGCTTCCAGCTGCACGCTGGGGCCTGATTCCACATGGACACACAGCAGTTCATCAGCGATGACCGTCGCCAGTGTTCCACGGCACCCCGAGACACCCCCCTCGGCAGGGATTGACGGGGAAAACCCGGAATTTCACTCACATGGGCCCGGCTCCGTGCCGTCCGCAGGACGAGGCTCGGCATCTGCGGCCCCCATCTCCAGGGAGACGGCGATGCCGTCCGAGGGTTTGCAGATGAGGGACACAAAGGTTGTGGGAGCCAGGCGTACGTGGAGGGAGAGGATTCTTTAGGAAGACAGACAAGGGCCATAATACAGGTCACACCAGCATGGGATTCACCTTACAGTCCAACGTCTCTGACATCATCAAAGCGTGCAGCCTAATCAAGCTCTGTGGGTCCCTTGAGGGGGACCTGTGAATGCAGCTGGTCAACGAAGCTGTGGAACCCCGCTGAGAATGGTCTTCAGATATGAACATACTCCTTCTACGTGAAATTGACTTAATGCATTTTGTTTTCAGACATATTTCAAATGTAATCAGAGCACGAACAGAGGACCCTAGACGGAGGAGCCACGGCTGAGGTCATACTTTGCACGCAGCTCAGTGAGCTCGGGTGGGATCGTCCCCTCCAGCACTAAGGAGGAGGCCCCGCTCCAGGCATCTTGAGGGCAACCGCGGATTTTCAGCGAGCCACCCCCTACGGGCTCAGGCAGGTAGAGTGGCTGCACCTCCTGGGCACTCAGGTTGAGCCATCTCTGCAACTTCTCACGCTGTGGGAGGGCAGGAAGACAGATCACAATCCCGACAGCAGCTCCACACAACAGACAGCTGGGTAACGCCTGCTTTTCAGGGCTTTTATCCAAAGCGACTTGCAGTAGACGGAAGGGTTATTACCAATAGGTACTCCTCCTGGGATTTGAACCCACAGCCTTTGTGTCTTATTTAGCTAGAGGAGCCTAAACTGATTAAACCAGTGTTTCTCAAACCAGTGCTCTAGGACCCAGAGATTGTCCAAGTTTTTGCTTGCTTCCAACTCTCCGGGGGTCCCCAAGAAGTGGTTTGAGAGATACTGGATTAAACAACATAGAGCAGATGTGCAAAGAAAGCCAGCATCACTGAGGCATAACCAGGAAAGACTTATCCAGACTTGGTGGCTAACTTGCGGTCTGATTCACCTTCCCCTTCCAGAAGAAACTTTGCCCAAATCCTTGGCAGAAGGACGAGACGAAAGGGAGGGAGCAGGACAGGTGATGGGCATGCAGGAAGTCAGCGAGCAGACCCCAGAACCTGAGAGGAGAGGGACGAGCCGTATCGTGATTGGGCAGAGTTAGGTGGGCAGGGCAACACAGTAGCAAAGCGATGCCCACCTGTCCTGGTTGGCGCGGAATTCCGTTTTCTCATGACACTCATACACCCAGCCTGGAGCAAAGATGGCCGCCGACAGCCCATGTTGGCGGATCAGCTCCATAGCCTGGGGTGTCGAGAGGTCATGTTTCTGCTCAGCACTGTACCGTGGCACGCCTCTCCATCCAATCCCCGGCAAACTCGGCCTGCGGTTCTCGCACGTACCTTGTTGGTCTCGAACTTGCCGCCCACCACCTCCCCACGTGCAAACACATCCACACCCACGTAAATGTCAGCCAAGCGCTCCTTGGCCACAGGGTAGGTCTGCATCCACTCCAGACTCTGCGCTGTCCAGTTATAGTTAGTGAAAAAACCATCGCAGGCCTGGAAGAACACTCTGGAAGGAGGAGGATGAGACAAATGAGGACAAAAAAAACAGAAATGGAGTTTTATCAGGGATCATGCAAAGCCAGTGGTTGAGGTCTCAGAAGTTTCTGGTCTCAAGGCCCTAATCCAGTGTTTCTTAAACCAGTCCTCGGGGGCCCCCAGATCGAGTGTCTAGCAGGGAACTGGGAAGGAGCATCAACATGGGCTGTCTGGGGGTCACTGAGAACTGGGGCAATAAACACTGCCCTAGTACTGTGGGTGTAACGGTACCACTCGCCTGTCCCCACATGCCACTGGGAACCACTCCAGCCCCACTCTTGCCTGTTTCTCTCATTGAGCTCGTTCTGCCACTTGAGCTCGCCGCCCTCCAGCACGCTGTCGTACCAGACAACCTGGCCGGACGGGATGCGCTCGTGTGTCTGGTCTGTCAGATAGCGCAGGAAGAGGGGCATGTTCTTCACGGCCTTCTCCTGGAAGAATGACGGACACAGGCTCGGTAAAGGTGCAGCCGCGTCAGGCGGTGGGAGTGAGCCATGAGAAGGTGCCGTGTTTACAGAAGCACAGTGTGCAGAAAGGGAGAAAACCAACCTTGTGGCTCAGAAGCTACCAATTACCCACTGAGCTACCCCCTCTGGAAAGGCAAGGTTCTCGACAAACACTAAAGTTGACCTCAAGTCAACCTTACAACAACCCTGTACTGAAACTCAGCCCTACATCCTCCATGGCTCAGGAAATGTCTCAGGTAAGTCTGTTCTACCATCAGAAGCCCATACAGAGGGGTGGAGATTTACGCTCTCCAGCCGCATGAAGGAGGTTCTGATCCAGTCTTGGGGGCAACCCGGGGTCCCTCAGACGGAGCCAGTGCCAACATCCCTCCACTCACACTCAGGTCGTTCTCGATGTTGACGAGCCAGCCGTCGAAGCCATAGCAGTAAGAGATCTGGACCAGCTTGTCCGCCACCATGCGGTATGACTCCTCGTCCTTCAGGAAGTCCTCGCACACAATCTTGCCGTCCTTCCACTCCGTGATGAAGGTGCCTGAAACAAACCAATCAAGGGTCCCGCTGCTATCAGGACAGGAAAACACGGCAATCACTCGCCAGCTAATTATAAACTGGCATTCAATACAAATCAATCAGAGAGCAGAATGTATCACAACATGGTCTTTTAACACAAAGATTTTTCATTACGGTGTAAAGAGTGGCTTAACCCTCAGGAAAGACTTGTTTAACCCTTAGGAATGGCCGTTCTCCAGCTGAATATCAGCTGTATGGGGAACTAATCTAGTAAGTAATTAAAGAGTAGTAATCACCTAGGACAAGGACGCCATGTTTGTGTGCCGCATTGGTCCAAACAGCAGGAGGAATCGTCACCATAATATGGCTGAAGTAGTTGAAGATGTCTATGTGGTGCCAGTGATAGAAGGCGTACGGTGTCTCCACCTCCGCCCCCTGAATGAACCTGGAGGTTAAAGGGCACCCTCACTCTCAGAGCGCGACACCTCCCGCTACACGTCTGCGACACCAGGCCCACACGTAGCGCCGCACCACCCCAGCCCACCTGTCCTCCAGATAGCCCCCCATCATGTCATGACAGACCAGCGTCCTGCTCCGCCTGCGTGCCAGTGGAGGAAGCCGGGCTGCCAAAGGCTCCGCTGCGACGTTGAAGGGGCTGGCCTGACTCCGCTGCCATGATCGCAGGTCCTCAAGCGAGTTCAGGGCAGAGCTGATTGGTTCTGTGGTGTCTGGGTCATAGTGCGCACCTGTGGAAGAAAGACACTGACAGCCTTGCGAGCTGATCTTAGAAAACGGACGAACAGCTGACGACTACAAAGCCTCACACATAGTGGATCCGCAATTATTCTCTGTGAGGGCCAAATTCCATCAGCAAAGGTGGGGGGGGGGGCAATTGGCCACTTGGTGACTACTGTTACACAAGATATACTTTACATTCTCTTTAAATAACTGGGTGTAATTTTCCCCCTAATTTTGCTTCCAACCCTAAATAGAGTCGGTTTTATATAGCTACACAAATAACTATCTTGGATGAGACTTTTTCTCACTGCTCCAGGTGGCATTTAAATAAACTGTAGACTCTCTCCATTCGTTTTTTCTTTTTTTTTACCTGATAAAGATGGCGGCTCATAATTCACCACTTCATGCACAGTACCCTGGGGTGAATCGAAACAGGACTCCAAACTGTAAAATAATACTTTAATGTATAGCCTCACTTTTTCTAATAGAAAAATCAAAAATGCATAAATTATCAATAAAAAACACGAGCTCCGCAAATAATCATTCTTATGTTATAATACTGTTTAAAACTATATCTACTACGTTGCGTCGTACAGATATACAAAATTACTGTACATATTTCACATTTCAAAACTGCAAGCTTTAACAAAGTGGATGTACGTTTTATTAATTTTCTATCCTACAAGATTATGTTATCAGGATGTCCGGTTTTAAAATACTACAAAAAACACAGTATGTGTTAAGCTAGCTGAATGGCTACCTGTCAGTTTTGTTCTTTTTGACAGTTTCATCATTGGTGAATCCACGTCGTTCTTTTCTTCTTTTCAGGACCGACATACTATCCCTTTCTATCGTCCTCCCATGCTCCATTTCAATATGCAGAAACTAAGCAGTTTTAAAATAAGATGAAAACATGTCACTTAAGGGCCGCACTTCCTTTTCGATTCTGATTGGTTTGTGGTATAAAGGAAGTTTGTTTTCATTGGCTAATGGATACCTAGTTGAACAGTCACGTGGGGGAAAAAAAAGTCGAGTGAAGACTGAATGCGAAACAATGTCAGACTTTCTAAAATTAATGCAACATTGTATAGTACGTGGTGCACTGGTAAGCTGTTGCCTGTTTAACTGCAGAACATGCCAGCACATGATAATGTTAATATAAAATAAATGCCTTATTTTAATAAGACCACAAGGTGTCAGTATAACACAAAGTTTATTTGAAGTTGTACACTGGTAACAAAAGAATACAATATACTTGTCACATCGATGACTCGCCGTGTTGTTAATGCTATGCGCTAATATCAGAGCTACAGATGGGAGCGTAAGAGATCTATGTTACGAATTAAATAAGGCATTTTAAAAAATGTGTACATACATTAATTATCGTATAAGCTGCTGTTTATCATACCTTATATATTTACTGTATACGAGCGAAAAAGTTTTTATATAATTTAAAACGTATTCCAAAAACATTACAGTCGTTTTAGAATTATGGACGTTACACTCTTAGCTGTCCCCCATATAAATAACTGCAAATTTCACGTATTTTATACTAATACAATATGTCTATAAATATACATTTCAAATTAATATTTTATAACCTCAGTAAAATTGCACGCGTACGTCTATGTGTTGCTCATCTTTATATCAAATTATATGCGACCCTCTTTGTGGTGTTAGTACGTAATTATCTATAATCGTTTTAAATTCCTAAAATCACTTGTATTTGAACATACTTTACTCCGTCCTTTACACTGTTTTATGTATGCCATTATTCTGCAATTCTTTAGCCAGTTACACTATGTGAGGAAAACATTTCCTTCCAGTTATAACAGTGCCTGAACAGGGTTGCTCAGACCGGTGGAAGCCTGCCCTGACATGCCCTATGCAGCGCGTCAATTGGCCCAGACTCACCCGTTCATTTCGACGTTTCGTCACCAGCGGAAGTGGCGTCACCGGAACACGGCAGACCGTCTCACGGTATGAGGGAAAGGGCTAGTTGACAGTCAGATTGTTAGGCGGTTGTAGGTTTGGTGGCGGAGTCAGTCACCGAAATCCGAGTCCATCCTTCCCGGAGTCGTGGGAGATGTCACGCAGAACAGAAGGAGCATAATCTTCATACTTCAAGCTTTCAAACGAGCTCCATATTGTGGCGTTCCGATATCATATGTGTTAAAAAAGGAATGGTGAAAATCGGATGGTGACGGAAGGAAGAGTTTATTTTGAAGCAGAGAAAAGCTTTCTGTGGAAATTGAGAGTTTCGGCGATTAATTTAGCTGGTGGATAAAATTAACAAATTCTATTGTCATTTCGAAATTTAGAGGTAGGCAGCTAGCTATTTTGCTAGCTATCTAATATTTAGTCATGGATCTGAGAGTCGGAAACAGATATAGACTTGGAAGAAAAATTGGAAGTGGATCTTTTGGGGATATTTATTTGGGTGAGTATCTACGCCATTTCAATTAAATAAAAATGTACTATGTAGCTCCATAGTTGTCGACAGAGAGTTTTTTCCACCGTAGTAAATATGCCAGTCTAACCCTTGTCAGACCTGTTAGTGTGAACCAGCTGTCCGCTTTACGCCTTCGTGTCAGTCCTGTGTTTATAAAGGCGGGCCGTGTTTCAATGTCTTTTTAATTACATGGGTTTCGGTGTTTTTGTGTCTTTTTTTTGTTGTTGACGTTAATCAGTTGTGTTAAAAGTGAGGGGCTGAGTTGGTGTCGACGGTGTAAATCCGTCCAGCACCGGGGAAAACAGCGACGGTTCCAACGTATGTCGAATCGGACCGTGTTAAACCGACACTGCTTTATTTTAATTCCTATCTTTTTACCATGGCACGGCGGACAGTGAGTGAATCCTTTTGACACATTGTACTCTGACGATGCTGGACACCATAGTCGGATGGGTGGTGTTCAGCTTTATGGATTCATTTCGGATCGTGTGATTGGTGTAATAATGCCAGTTTGTCTGTTGCTCTTTGATTTAGCTTAACCTGTATGCCTGTCTGTGTTTCCACTGGCAGGTAACCGTACGTACTGTAATTTATGGATTTGTACTGGCTTCGGTTGTGCTTGGCTATTGATCATTGTGTTTCTTGCGTTGCATTGTGCTGTGAAGCTTTCGATCCAAAACTACAAAAAAAACTACAAGATGGTGTCTGGTCACATTTGATTAATTCGATTAAAAGTGATGAGGAAGACGTCTTAAGGGCAAAGCCCTCATGTTTCTATTTGCGGACAGCCCTTGTTAGCCAGCGGGGGACGCTGCGCCCGGTTTCAGGCTGCTCCTCTTCAGGTTGACTTTGTTCCAGATAATTATCCCGTTTGCGGTTCTGTGAGCCCCCATCCCCCCAAATGTCGAAGCCCAGGCTTCTTAGTAATGAGCCAGCGCTTGGTTGGTTGAAATGTCCGGCTTCAAGCGCTCGCAGTTACGATGGTTGCCCTTTATAATGAATGGAAATGGGGAGTATACAGTGTGTCCGTTATGTCACCCTTTGAGCGGATACTTCGGTAGCACTCGGTTGCCTTCTGTTTGGTGACAGCGCGCAGCCTGCGTGAAGCTGCTGTCCCTGTTGGCAGAGGGATTTCTTACATTATGTAACGATTACGAACGTTGGGAGAAGTTGCTCAACTCGGTGTCTCGGTTTCGCTGTGTTTGCGCACGTTTGCGTACGTTTGCGTGACAGGGAGTGTTTCCTGGATTACCAGTTAGGCCGATGCTTGCGGACGGTGCCGGGCCTGCCTGATTTGTTATGGTGATGGGAGGCAAGATCTGGATTCATGTGTGCTTCACTAGGGGCTGGGTTCCTGCATTAATTTCCTTTTTGAATTGTATTATTCGGCTTTTGCCCGAAGCTGTCATGTTTAATCGTTGTAATTATTTTTCCTTGACAGTGTGAGTGACAGTTGACTTGAACAATGGTTGTCATGGTGATGAAAGAAGCCAGCTCGTGACCAAAAGTTTTCCGGAAGTTTCTCGTTCGGATCTCCTTGCTCATGGTGTCCTTGAATGAGACACTTAACATAATATTTTATCATCTTCCATTGTCTGTCTTACTCGTTAAGTCGGTGCCCAATTAATGGATTGGTTATGAAACATCAACAGCTCTGTGTATAGGGATTTTTGGTAAAACGTATACCTGTCCTTGCGGTACTAGCTGCTTAGGAATCCATCGCACGAGAGATCATGGCACAGCGCCTTGCGTGAGCTACCCGCTCGTCTGTTTCTCCACATGTTTGGCTCCATCCCCTCAGACGAAGGCCCCCATTACAAAGTTCCTATGATGTAATGTTGGCTCATGCAGTTTGGCTTTAAGAGGCCCCAAGGCAGAGCGTTATGATAAACAGCTGCACCGAATTTCCCACAGAGGAAGCACTTAGGTTGGGAGACACTGATCTGTTTTAAAGGTCATCTGTGAGAAAAGTTACTCATTAAGTACTCATGACGGGATTAAGTACTCATGATGGGAACTGAGTCCAAGAGAGCCTAGTTATCGTGGTTGTGCAGTGCAGATGGGGTTGTTGGGTTTTGTTTTGACAGTAGTAATATTTCAGGAACGGTGATTGGTTGAAATATAAACTGCAACAGTTAACAGCCATATCACAAGTTGGTAGAAGACTCAGAGGCTGTCGGTACGCAGTCCTCTAGAAAGATCTCCAGACATTGATAGAACTTCGCTGTCACAAGTTTGGCCGCTATTTGTTTTTCTTGACCGTCTTCATACCATCCGACTTGCACGTGTACGTGTCCAGCCCGAAGTTAACTTTAGCGGACATGATTGCTTGTCATCAGTTCTGCGGCAGAGTACGAGGCGGAGAGCGGGGTGTAGGTGGAATGCTGTTTTGGGCGCCCCTGCAGACGGTAACCTGGAGACGGTAACCTGGGGGCATCGCGCCTCCCTTTCGCTGTCACTCCATGTTCGGACGCATTTGTCGAGCAGACGCGCCTCGCCCCAGCTCCTAAGAAACGTGACAAAAGTGGGCGATCCTGACCGTCACGTGTGGTGCCGGACAGTCTGTTTGCTGGGGGGTGGCCAAGTGCTGAGTCTCAGTTACAGTGGTTATCAGGCTGTAATTTTCTCAGCGACTCAGCCACTGTGGTGCAATAGGTCTGTCTGCTTTGGAGGAGGGGGGGGGGGGGCCATCAAGCCTGCACCCCACCACCCAAAGAGCAGATGATTTGAACGTCTACATGGTCATCCTGCTCCTTTCAGAGGATATCGCAGTTGCATGGTCACTAGTCTTGTCAGGACGGGCGCAGGTGTGTGCATTAGTGGATGAGGATCCTTATCTTGTGATATTGGAAATGAAGCAGCGAAGTCTTTTAGAAATGGATCTGGAGATCACTTACTTGGTCCATAATTTTTACACCTAGATGATTCCAATGTATTCGTGCAGGGCATCCTGAATGTCACTCTGGCTTTTCTCTGGAATTTGACGTCTTATGGTAGAAAATAGTCCGTCGGCTCCAGAGGAGCCGCCTAAAAGGAGGGAGGCAGCGGCAGGCAGGATGAGCTCCCTGACGCAAAGGCCCCCTTTCCCCTCCCCCCTCTCTGCAGGTACTGACATTTCTGTGGGGGAAGAGGTGGCCATCAAGCTGGAATGTGTGAAAACCAAACACCCTCAGCTTCACATCGAGAGCAAGATCTACAAGATGATGCAGGGGGGAGGTATGGTGCACGGCGACATTTGCACGGGGACACAAGCATTTTCACATTTTCGCTTAGCATTTCCACTCCACGTGAACTAGTTTGATGTTACAATATAATTTGATAGCATTTCATTTTGTTTTCGTTGTTTGCCCTATTAGTTATATTGCATTCTTAGCATGACGTGAGACTGCGTGTGTGGCTCTTTTTGGTTGCCCAGGTGATATTTCTGCTCAGCTGTGCACCGATTCTGTCTAAGCCGCCCACTTCATCTGCAGAAAGACCCCAGTCTCCTTGTTGGTACTTCCACTGGTAGCCATAGTAAATTTCCCCTCCCATCAGAACTGGTTTTGCTTCTAAGCAAAGTCGGTTGCTCATCAATGTCTTGTGACGTCAGAGCTGTGCTCTGGAAGCACCAGAATCCCTTTGGCTTTGTTGAGCCAATGGAAATGTCACCTGGTGTGTTTTCTGAGTCCCTTTGTCTATTTGTTCGGTTGGATGATGATTCTGCTTATTATTATTATTATTATTATTATTATTATTATTATTATTATTATAGTTTCACACCTTGCTGGATTGAGGTTTCAGAGCAGATATGTATTTTCTGGAACTTTCCATACTCTCCCTCATTTGCAGTGGGCATTCCTACCATCAAGTGGTGCGGAGCCGAGGGCGACTACAACGTGATGGTCATGGAGCTCCTCGGGCCCAGCCTGGAAGACCTCTTCAACTTCTGCTCCCGCAAGTTCAGTCTGAAGACCGTGCTGCTGCTGGCCGACCAGATGGTGAGAGCGGCTGGCCCTCGTCGCTTCTCCTTACCATCTCACGCCTCCCCCCAGAGTTCCTCTCCCCTCTTAACACACCTGTTGCCCTCGCTCTCTCACAGATCAGCCGCATCGAGTACATCCACTCCAAGAACTTCATCCACCGGGACGTGAAGCCGGATAACTTCCTCATGGGCCTGGGGAAGAAGGGCAACCTGGTCTACATCATTGACTTCGGCCTGGCCAAGAAGTACCGCGACGCTCGCACCCACCAGCACATCCCCTACCGCGAGAACAAGAACCTGACGGGCACGGCGCGCTACGCCTCCATCAACACGCACCTGGGCATCGGTAAGAGGCACCATCCTGCCTGCCGATTACCGCTTTTGGGAGGTGTGAAGCTGCATCTGGCAGTGAGTTTGCAGGCAGCTCACCTCATCCTGAGGGAGAGTCTCTCCCTTCACCTTCTCATAAAGACCCACAGTCACGTGCTCTTTGCTTCTGTGAAGGTGCAGCTGGTGGGCTATGAGTGAGCAGCCTAAAATTACAGGTCCTTGTCTTCTCCCCCTCCCAGAACAGTCCCGGCGTGACGACCTGGAGTCCCTGGGCTATGTGCTGATGTACTTTAACTTGGGCTCGCTGCCCTGGCAGGGCCTCAAGGCCGCCACCAAGAGGCAGAAGTACGAGCGCATCAGCGAGAAGAAGATGTCCACCCCCATCGAGGTGCTCTGCAAGGGCTACCCCTGTGAGTGTGTGAGCCCTGGTTCATGGGGGATAGCGGCAGAGGACATTCTCTCCCTTGTCTCCCTCTGCTCACACGCTCGCTCTCTGCATCTACAGCTGAGTTCTCCACATACTTGAACTTCTGCCGCTCACTGCGTTTCGACGACAAGCCCGACTACTCCTACCTGAGGCAGCTCTTCAGAAACCTGTTTCATCGCCAGGGCTTCTCCTACGACTACGTCTTCGACTGGAACATGCTTAAGTTTGTGAGTGCTGCCCCTCTTACCTCGGCCATTGGAGGGCACTGCGGGAGGGTGGTTGGGGGGCCGGGCTTGGAGCCTCTGCTGCTCTCTTCCGCTCAGCGCCAGCTAAGGTCCTGACGATTTTGGGATTTGGTTTCCTTATTCCTCATATATTGGTTCTATTTATTTCTGAGCAGTTGGCATAGAGGAGAACCATCCACTCTTTCTCTGTCTCACTCTGTCTCTCTCCGTCTCTGCACTTTGTGGACACCCTACACTTGTCGGAATGGTCTTGAAAATCAGCTGGCCGCCTTTCCTGAGGTTCATGCCCGCATGCTGTTTGCTGACCACCTAATACACCGGGTGTGGTTCTAATTCCGTCCAATGGAAATGAAGGGTCCCTGTCACCTGTAAACAGCTCTACATGCTGGAGGAAGCTTGATAGCTTAACGCCTTTAGCTGTCTGCGTTGCCTTAGCAGACCCCGTAATGGGCACCTCTGCTGCTTGGCAGGCTGGATAAGCGTATTAATGTTCATCTGTAGGCTTGTCATTGGTGTGCTGCCTGGCGGGGAGACACTTTACAACACCCTGGTTTTTAGGCCGAGGTGGTGGTGGGGGGGGGGGGTCAGGTCACCTGCTTTAAGTGACATTTTAACATTCCTTTCACATCCCTTCAGTTTATTCAGCTCCAAATTACTTCTCCAATTGAAATGTCTTTGTGTACAGCTGGCTAGCTGTGCCGGGCTAGGCTGATCCCTCCCTGTCTCCATCAGGGTGCCAACCGCGCGGCTGAGGATGCGGAGAGGGAGCGCAGGGACCGGGAGGAGCGGCTGCGTCTCGCCCGTAACCCCGTGGCACGGGGAATGCCCTCTGCCAGGCCCAGGGGGGCGCAGGACGGCGCTCCCGGCGCACCACTCACGCCCACCTCCCACACCGGTGAGTTTCCATCAGGTCCCGCGTGTCTCTCTCGAGTTTCCTGCCACCCGACTGACTGGCGTCTCGCCCCTGACAGCAGCCAACACGTCTCCACGGGCCGTCTCTGGCGTGGAGCGTGAGAGGAAGGTAAGCATGAGGCTGCACCGCGGTGCCCCTGTCAACGTGTCGTCCTCAGACCTGACCGGCCGGCAGGACGCCTCGCGAGTCTCCACGTCCCAGGTGCCACTCTGCCCGCTCCTCTTTGTCTCTCTCTTTCTGTCCCTCTACTTTTTTCTCACTCTTTCTTTATCTCTTTGTCTCCCTCACGTACCCCTCTGTCTTTCTCTCTCAATTAGTCTCTCTGTCCATTCACTCCCTCTCTATGCTCCCTTGGTTATAATAGGTTATTAGGGGTTTTTAGGGGGGTGTACTGTTAAAAACAGGGGTGACAGCCCTGACAGCCACAACCCTCCCCACAGATCCTGAGCTGCATGACGCCCAGCGGCCTCCCGTCTGCCGTGCCGCGGTGAAGGCCCCGCCCCGCAGCACCCAGGGGGACGACCAACACGTGACTCACGCCCAGCAGTGCCGTACCAGTCGCCAAAACGCCTTTGATGGCTACGGAACATCGATCCCTGGAAGAGATCACTTTTTATCCCCCTCCCTTTCTTTTTTTAAACTTGAGATTAAGCAACCGCCAGATTGTTAAAGCCTTTTTGTGGAGATGGAAATGTTGATGTATGTGACACCGGCACCACAACAGTTCCCAACCCCCTTCCTCAGCCAAAGTTGCCTTTGCCGTCTTGGCAGTCTGCGACCAGGCACCTCCTGGACTATTTGATTTTAGTTCTGTTTTTGTCTCTTGTGAACCTCCGTAGACTGTTCGTTGTCCCTCCTTCTGATGCAATGTGGGCTGGTAAGGAAAACGATGTCAAACTGACGCAGTAGCACAGTGACAGTCTGGGCTTTGCCGGGGGGGGCTGGCTCTAAGGGCTGCCCGTTTTATGGCCTTTTATACGCGTGTTTTCTCTCGGGCCGGTTCACCATTGTTCTCGCACCGCGACTCATTAAGGCGTTTCACCCCTTGCGGTGTCATGTGGGCTTGTAGCATTTTATTGACCTGCCGTTTAGGTCACAACACAAAATGTGCCGCAGGTCCCCGCGGGCTGTGGCCTTTTCTTGGGGCTGGGCGGGGGAAAGTTTATGGACCGGTAGCCAAAAGACGTTCTTGGATCACTTCTGAGGTTCTGCCTGCCCACGTGACAGTAGGAGGTGGAGGAGAGCTCCCCCTTCAGGTCGTCAAAGGAGTCCTGGTGTCGTGTTCACCTGAAATGGAATCCCACTTCAATCAAGGGACCTTTATGAGGTTCACAAGCACCCTTCAAGTTGGGCTGAGTTCCTCAGGATGACCTGGCAACCAGCCAGCCTGTCTGTACCGCGTGCTGATTGGTTTCGGTGGGTGGGTGGGGCGGGGGGGGGGGGGGGGGGGGTAAGGGAGTTGTGGAAGTTGAGTCTTTGTTGTACCCAGGATGTGATGAACGATATCAGAGTACAGTTTTAGTGTGCGTGCGTGTTTGGTCTATAGACTTTTCCAATTTGACGTTACCCACCACAAAGGGTTTAGCAGATAAGCAGGTGGTTAGCTTTTTTTTATTATTATTTATTTTTTTGGCAAATTGGAAGAACCCCCCCCCC